AAAGTTTAGCAGTTTATCCCATCATTTCGTGTGGATTCGAGAACTTTGTGGGTATCGATGAAATCGTGAGAACTTTCTGCGAAAGATGACGTAATTTTTATTTTATTTTGGAACATATTCGTTACAAAAAATTTGTCGATACGGATACACGACTAGTGTTTGCATTTGGGAAGAGTTGCCGACTTTTTATCGGTTTTCGAACCACACGCAAGCAAGATAAAGGAAGCGTGGCTGTCCGGGTGTCCGCAGTTTCTGAACTGACGAGCTCAGTGTAATGAGTATCAATTGTCACTTTGGTGGAAGCTGTAAGGTGGTAAGTTTTCGATACATTTTATTATGTTAACATGATAATATATTACCTATACAGAATTCCATACTGTCCTGGATACCAGACTTATCATACATAGGAAATTGGTTTAAATCTTGAGTAAATGAGGGAATTAAAAATGAACTGATTCTAAAAAATCTCTGGTTTGTCACTATGCAACACGGCTTTGAATTAGATTATTAGAACACTAATGAATATTGAACACTAGTCAATTATGCTTTTAATTAACAACTATTAAGCTTTTATTTAAGCAAATTTTAATTTTTGTACATAGCTTGGAACAATCTGTGTGTGTCCAATTCAAGTTGTGACGGAATTAGTTTTCATGTGTCTAAATCCATTTCTCAACTTATTCATCTATTAATTTATTTACCACTTGAAATCAGTGAATACAAGTACGGTATACTTAAAGGATTCCTAATATATTCACAGATATATTTAAAAGTCTCAAACCATAATATTCTTCCTATACAAACAGTTATTCACTATTTGGTAGAGCAAGGTCAACTGTCAAATTTGACACATTTTTAATGATCTCACTGGGTAGCGTGCATTGTCCCTCTTTGGATCTCAATATTTTCCCGCTAGACGGCCAAGACCTAGTGTTTTGGCAGTAGTTCGACGCGCAAATGTATGACGTCACCATTTCAACCATCAACGAACGCATGGAACTAAAACAAAGCTTAATATAATGGAAAAACTAGAGAGGTGACGGAATTACCCACGATGTCGGAATATACCGCGTTTACCCTAATTTACAGGATTGGAATTTTCCTACTTGTTTCTGAAATCTGGTGGCTCCAACTGGACAAATTTTTGATACCTACATTTGGATTCTTGTGGCCCGATCCTACACTTTTGTTAACAATTAGATAGGATTTGATTCATCTGGCAGAAATTTCACAGTTCCGGAAATGGCGGGAAAGCTTTAGTTGCGACTTGCAGCCCTAATCTAATGGTAGAAGTTTTCCATGCTTGCTGATAAATACTCTTGGTTAGATACTAGTTGTGAAAATTACTATTTCTTTTGAAATATTGCAGGTCTAATCACTTTAATGTAATGTCATTATTGTCTATAATTCCATTAGGTCTGAAATCTTGCACTCACTCGCAGCTTCTAATGTCACGTATTTTTTTTCATTGAAGAAATTGCAGTTCACAAACCTGTCACTCTGTCATTTCATAAAATTTCCAACTTCCGTAATCCAAAATACTTGGTACTGCATAGTGGCAAAGCAAGAGTTTTTTAGACTCTATTTCAAGTTCAATTTCAAGTCCTATGAGCAACCAGAAAAGTATCATGGATACCAGCATCATCCTACTGCCTACCATAAAATGGGGTTACTTTGAACGGCGAGGTATCTTTGACCACTTTTCGTTTTTTGAACAAAAACCCCCAAAACTCAAAAACGATTTGACATAGAAAAATTTTGTCAATGGCCATCAAAGGCCTAATACTGAGGCTATGTAACACTATAGAAAGATTTAAAAAGTTTGCATATCTAATAGGTTAAAAAAATTAATAATGTAACCCACAAAAAAGAGCTATAATATAAAGCCTGTCAGAGTACCCCCTCCAATTTTTTTATTTTTTGGTAAAATAAATCCAGGTTTTGATGCATTGTAGTAGAACTCTTCTAGTTACATATGCAAAAGACAAATTTTAGGAAAGTGTCATAGTTTGCAAATGGGGGGCATTACCTCCCAGTGGGGTAACTTAGACCACCTAATGGCAGCCGTGACGGAGTAACATTGACCGGCTTGGAAATTAAGTTAAAATTACCATAGGTACCTATATAACATATATTATGTTTGATACACCTATTAATGTTATTTTCTTTATGTTTCAGACTCTACAGAGTCTTATATATGGTAATTTTAACTTAATTTCCAAACCGTGTTTCAGACTCTACAGAGTCTTATATATGGTAATTTTAACTTAATTTCCAAACCGGTCAATGTTACCCCATCACGGCTGCCATTAGGTGGTCGCATTTCGCCCATTGGGGGGCGGCGCCCCCCATTTGCAAACTATGACACTTTCCTAAAATTTATCTTTTGCATATGTAACTAAAAGAGTTCTACTACAATGCACCACAACCTGGAGTTATTTGGAGTTATTTTACAAAAAAATAAAATTGATTTTACCACCCAGTCAAAGAAACCCCAAGAGCTGGGGTAACAAAGACCATCACTTTTTTTTTTAATTATATCAAAACTATGAGAGGCAGGAGCCAGCAATTTATGGTGAGTAAAGCTAGAGTATAGACCTGTATTTTGCAGGTTTCAATTTATGTTTAACTTATCTAGTAAAAAAATGGCATCGTTTCGAAATAAAAAAGTGGTCAAAGTTACCCCATTTTACGGTACTACTTGAAACAGAAAGAAATATTTTATTGTCAACCATCATATTTTTTGGAGAAAAAAATTGTAATTTAGGTTAATTACTTTTCATTCTATGTTGCCTGGTGCACAATTCTATTTATGACATTCAATGCACATTTTTGTGATGACTGGTGATTATTAATTCTTTGTTAAGTGAAATCTTTTTCACTGAGCAACGAGCGTGGTAAATTTTTATCAAAATTTTTTGTTGTTGATTGATTTTTTTGGTTAACAGTACGTAGCCTTTGCTGACTGAGGTTCTACTGTGAATGCATTAGTAGGGGTGTCCCTTATTACCCTGTTCTGCAGAAATGGCTGTCATTTTTAAATGAGATAGGCAAACTCTGTCAATCGTATTTTTAAGCTTACATCTGTGTGCAACTTTTAGGGAAGTAAAATTTTTAATACGCCAAATATATATATATATATATTTTTCGCTACAGACCTTAGCAGAGGTACTTTTCCAAAATCACGCTTTTCACACTTTTTTTCATGGATTTTTTAAAGGTAGTAAATGTATGATTTCCTAACTAACTTATTATATGCTACATAGATAGTAAAAATGTTGAATTTTATGCCACTATTTTTAGTTTAGCAATATTTTGATTAGTTTAGCTGCTACAACATTTCTACAAAATGTGGTACGACTGTCCTGATTTACCCTGCCCATCCTTTATTACCTCTTTTGATGGTATATTAGAATAAAATTTTTATTCATACACAGGCATGTTACTGATTGATTTGATTTTAAAGTAACTTACTGCCAGTGAATTCTGTGAAAAATATTCCATTTAGTTATTTTTGTATCGTGATATTTATTCTGTTCACTTACCTTGTATTGGTATAAAAAAACTATTTTACCAACTGAATGAATGCAAAGTGGTACATTTATTACTTTCTTACTGTATATTCATAAAAATGTGCAACTCTAATTGCTCAAATCTTACAGATTTTCTCTTCAAGTTTTTAGTCATTGGAAGTGCTGGGACTGGGAAATCATGTCTGCTTCATCAGTTTATGGAAGGAAAGTGTGAGTTAAGTAATTTTATTGCATTCAAAACACAGATAAATTGTAAAATTGAATTTATATTTAATTGTACTCAAATATAAATTATGCAATTCCCATACAGCAATCCCTTGATTAACGCGGTTAATAAATCCCCGAGTTTTACCGTGTTAAGCAAAACCGCGCTAATCAAACTTAAGAATATATGGGAATAATTATAATGAATCCTCAAAAATAGCAAAGTTACATAATAATTTTTTTTTTTCCACTAAAATTCATCATATTTCCACTAAAATTCATCACTGAATTATGTTTCGAAAGTGAAAAAACAATCTGAATTACTTTTCAGATCACGAGCAGTCTTTGTGATGTATGTACTGGCAGTAGCGGCGCGCCTAACTCCATCGAACGTCGTTCGAACAAGTTCACAACATGTGACGCTACCGTCACACTTATACATCACTGAATTATGTTTCGAAAGTGAAAAAACAATCTGAATTACTTTTCAGATCACAAGCAGTCTTTGTGTTGTATGTACTGGCAGTAGCGGCGCGCCTAACTCCATCGAACGTCGTTCGAACGAGTTCACAACATGTGACGCTACCGTCACACTTGCGGCTAGACTTTAAAGAATTATTGGCTGAAATTCATAAAGTAACAACATTTGGCAAATTTTTCCAAAAGTTGTAACAAAAGTAACAACATAAGATCTAATAAGCAAAAAGTAACACTTTTGTTACGAACGTACCTCTGGCTAGAGGCGGGAAAATGATGCGTTGTGAAAAAAAAGTCGCGCTAATCAAAACTGGCACCGCGTAGATTAAGGGTAGGTCGCAAATTTTTTTTCCGCGTTAATCAAAACCGCGGTATTCAAAACCGTGCTAATCAAGGGATTGCTGTATACACTTGTGCCCAAAATTATTCATACCCCTTCAAAAATATAATGAATCCTAATTTTAAAGAACAAAAAAGATCATTTATAACTTATTCTTCTATGAAAAGTTGTCATCATAATGTACAACAAATTTAATGCTAGAAAATATTTAGAAAATAACTTAACAAGAATTATTTTGGATTTAGTGAGTAACTAACTGTTCATAATTATTTGTACCCTCTTATTCTGGATTATTTATCATAATATTTAAGAAGAACTATTAATGAAAATAGTATCGTAGATACTCAATAATTGTATTTCAAAATTTGGTGTTATTAGGCATTGTAATATTTTTCTCCACAAAGTCTGAAAATATCATTTCTTCCACAATTTAGGGAAGAGCTAATATTTTGCTAAAAGTTTGAAGATGGCAAAGAAACACAAGCTTACTAATGATCTCAGAAACAAAAATGTAAATTCCCACAAAGAAGGACTAGGATATAAAGCAAGATCTAAGAAGTTTGGTGTTCCAACGTCTACAATACAGAGCATTATAAAAAAATTCAATTCTAATTCTAAATTGTGAAAAATTCAATTCTAAAATTCAATTCTAATTCTAAATCTAAACTGAATTCTAAAAATTCAATTCTAGTGGATAACATAGTTGTTAATAGAAGAAAGGGAAAAATTTCACCTAGATGTGCCAGAAACATAATACGGTATGCTCCATTTTCAACAATCCTAGGATTACTAGCAAGGAAATTACATTAAATTTGAATACTTCTGGTGTATAGGTAGGTAGTATCAAGACAAACATTGCAAAGAACAATGGTTCGTAATAGACTGAAGGGTTGTCTACTGAGGAAAACCTCTTTGCTAACAGAAAAGCATGCAAAAGCACGTCTGAAGTTTGCTAAAACTCGTGTTGATTCCCCTTCCTCATTTTTCAGCAAGATTTTGTGAACAGATGAGACTAAAATAGAATTATTTGGGCAAATGGATGTTGCTTACATTTGGAGAAAAAAAGGCAAGGCTCATAATCCAAAGAACACAATCCCCACAGTTAAACATGGGGGTTGGAATCTTATGTTTTTGTTTTTTTTTTCTTCTAGGGGACCAGGAAGTCTGATTAAAGTTAACGGGATCATGAAAAAAGAGCAATGTATTGATATTATCAAAAATTACATCAAACAGGCTGCAGAAAAACTTTCTCTTTGTCCTGATTGGATTCTTCATCAGGATAATGATCCAAAACACACATTGAAAATAGTCAAGAAGTGGTTCAAAGATTGTCAATGTCATGGAATGGCTTAGTCAAAGTCCTGATCTCAATCCAATTGAGAATTTGTGGTGCGGATTGAAAATAGTGGTGAAAAAGAGACAACCTAAAAATTTGAAAAATTAGAACAGTATGCCAAGGAAGAATTGACAAAACTTAGCATTGATACATGCAGGAACCTTGTTGACCATTACCCAAAGCGTTTACAACAAGTAACCAAGAGTAAAGGCCAAGACAACAACGTCAAGATAACAAGTTATCAAGCATAAACAAACAACAAGTTATCAAGAGTAAAGGCCATGCTATTAACTATTGATTCAGGGTATGAATAAATTTGGTCATGCGTCAGTTTTATGTTTCCTTTATATCTCTTTACAAAACTGAAAAAATAATGTTTTTGATTTATAAATACATGTTATATGGTTCATCAAGGGTTTAGATCTCCTTTGAAGTTTTAGATAATTATTTTTTGGTTTATTTCTCATAATTTGTCAAAATGAAGTTAGGGTATGAATAGTACTTTTGGGCACAAGTGTAGTATATGTATGAATACATCATTACACATTTATCTTCAAATCATTTAACTAATCTTTTCACCACTAATAATTTTACTTTTTGCTGCATTTACTGGTTTGGTTGTTGCAAATAATCTTGAACTGAAAAATATATGTTTATTTTCCCCTTTTTGTTTTCTTGTATTTATATCTTTTACTGCAAAAAACTACCTACCTATTTATGCTTCTATGGCTTTTAATGACCAATTTGCAGACAAATCTGACAGCAACCACACAATTGGAGTCGAGTTTGGCTCCCGCATTGTGAGCGTCGGGGGGAAGATGGTCAAACTCCAGATCTGGGACACGGCTGGACAGGAGCGCTTTAGGTTTGAATAACCTCTTTTGATTATAAATATACACATTATGTAATATTTTTTTATATTTTAGTACATGATCAATGATATAGTATTATAACTATCTAAAATAATAGAAAGAAAAATTTCCAACAAAATTTAACAATAACATTAAAGTCTATAAAATTTTGTATTATTTGAAAGCTTAAAAATTTATTTCTTGCTTGTATATATTATATGTACCTTTTTGGCAGATATAAAGTGCAATGGCAGTTCATGTGTTATTTTAACAGTAAATAAAATGAGGTGCTACATATTGGTTTGAATTTTATTATGAAATTCATAACATAATTGTTTAAAATTACATATTTTTGAATGTTCATTTAACAATTTAACCCACTGAATGGTAACAATATTAGTGGTTGCGCCTTCAGACGGGGTAGTTGCAATGATAGAATTCCATTCAGCTTACCTTTTTTGGCAATATAATGGTTCAAACATGATAGCTTAAACTGATATTTTTTCGTTAAGTAGTACATACCAGATGATGTTTCACACACAATTTCCTTGTTGACAAATTTTGTTATGCCAAGTTTTTCCAACAGCCTTGTAAAGAGATTATTACTTCACATTGTAAATCGTGTAACAGATTTTGAATTTTTTCTGATGGATGTTTTTCTTGACAAATATTTTTCACCAGATTTTGCAACAGATTTGAATTTTTTCTGATGGATGTTTTTCTTGACAAATTTTTTCACCATTGATTTCATAATAGAATGCTGTTTGCCAGTTGATATTTACATGAGTTTTACACTCGCTTTGAATGTACAGGTCGGTCCAGTTGATATTTACATGATCTTATTTTATATTTACATGATCTGTACAGGTCGGTGACGCGTTCAAACTACCGTGATCTTATTTTATATTTACATGATCTGTACAGGTCGGTGACTCGATCATACTACCGTGATCTTATTTTATATTTACATGATCTGTACCGGTCGGTGACTCGATCATACTACCATGATCTTATTTTATATTTACATGATCTGTACAGGTCGGTGACTCGATCATATTACCGTGGTGCTGCTGGAGCTCTGCTGGTCTACGACATAAGCAGCAGGGAGAGCTACAATGCACTGGCCAACTGGCTGTCAGATGCACGCACTCTTGCGTCACCGAACATTGTGGTCTTGTGTGTTGGTAATAAGAAGGACTTGGATGCGGAGAGAGAAGTTACCTTCTTGGAAGCGTCTCAGTTTGCGCAGGAGAATGGTAATTTTTGTATGAAGCCTTAACTTAACAATTTTTGTTTGAAGCCTTAACATAACAATTTTTGTTTGAAGCCTTAACAACAATTATTGTTTGAAGCATTAACTTAAAATTTTTTGAAATCTTAACTAATAACTTTGGCTTTGTTCATGGCTAGAAAATTTTAACTTTCTGAAAGCTACAGTCCTATAAACACAGTTAGAGCCAACATTCATCTAGGAAATAAATGTTCTCATGAGGCCACATCTTGCAGAGCTGCTGTTCCTGGAAGCTTCAGCTCTCACGGGAGAGAACGTCGAGGAGGCGTTCCTCAAGTGTGCTAAATGTATCCTTGCTAAAATTGAAACAGGTATTGTCTGGATGATTGTTATCTGTGTAATGACATGTGTGTGAATAAATAATATAATAATAATATATTATAATATAATATAATAATATAAATAATATAAGGCTAAATGTATCCTTGCGAAAATTGAAACAGGTATTGTCTGGAGGATTGTTATCCGTGCAATGACACGTGTGTGAATAAATATAATTGAGGTGACTTACCTGGGCCCATACTTTCAAAAAAAGTTAAGAGATCGTAAGTTCATCAGCCAATCATTGACGGCCTTCCAAGCAAAATCCACCAATCATAGACAAGAAAATAGAGCGTACGTTCTTACGTTAACTTAGCGAGTTTTTAAAGTATGGCCCCTGGAATGTACTGAATGTAGCAGTCTTGTGTCGAAAGTTATGTTCTTGTTAAGGCTGGATTGTCGCTAAGTAGATGCTTATATTTGAATAGAATACCTAGTCAAAGTTCTTGTAAGTTAATCAGTATGTCTCGAGATCGTTTTTGGCGGAAATAAAATGTGTTTCCATGATCCTCAGTGCACTCTATATATTCAGGGTAAGCCATCACTTACCACCTATCTTTAGGATGCTGTTAGTACCTACAAATTTTTTTGTTATTTATTTTCCGTGTTACTATTAGTACAAATTTTCCTTTTGTTATTTATTTACCCTGTTACTATTGGTACAAATTTTCCTTCTGGTATTTATTTTCCCTGTTACTATTAATACAAATTTTCCTTTTGTTATTTATTTACCCTGTTACTATTGGTACAAATTTTCCTTCTGGTATTTATTTTCCGTGTTACTATTAATACAAATTTTCCTTTTGTTATTTATTTACCCTGTTACTATTGGTACAAATTTTTCTTCTGGTATTTATTTTCCCTGTTACTATTAGTACAAATTTTCCTTTTGTTATTTATTTACAATGTTGCTATTAGTACAAATTTTCTTTTTGGTTATTTCTGGTATTTACTACCATACTCTGTGGGCATATGTTTGAAAATTCACAACTAACAGGTATAAAAATAATATTTTTAATCTACGCAGGCGAGCTGGAGCCAGAACGCATAGGGTCGGGCATCCAATACGGCGACGCAGCTCTCAGAAAGCTGCGCCAGACCTCGTCACGACCAAGACCGACCTGCAGTGCACCATCATGTCCTCTATAGTCTGGTCCTTTGTCATTGCCTACAGTTTACGAAAAACTGAACAAAGTTCGGCTGATATTTCTTGGCTGCTACAATGCACTTAGTTTAGTCTGAACTTCTGGCAGAAATTCCTATATGAGATAATGAATTAAATCGGGAGGTCTGCATTTCTGTTTAGTCTGAACTTATGGCAGAAATTCCGATCTGAGATAACAAATTATATCAGGAGGCCCAAATTTCTGCATTATTGCTTCTTCATAACCTCTGATGAAGTCAGTTTTTGGACTCGCATGTTGACTGCTTGTTTAGAAGCAGTGAATGTGCTGTGATGTGTTGGTAGTGGAGCTGCAGTTCGTTAAAACTTCCTCCATTTAAACTCATGCCACAACTGCATGATGAGCACTTTAATAGTGCCTAGTACAGCGAGTAGTGAAGCAAAGTTCAATGAGTATAGTGTTTTAATAGTGAACCGTGTTCTTAAAGCGTAGTCTTTTGTAATGGAGCCTGCGTTGCCTGGGACCAGTCAGGAAGACATTGGGTTTACAGGCGTAGGTTTATTAGGATATTCTATATAAAATAAAGCAATATCACTCCGATGTGCCGGAAGGCGTATTTATTAGCTTTAGTTTTTTATCTGTTCCATGTGCAATTCGGTGATATTTACTTGAACCATAGATATGGTCAGTGCTTGGATGCATGGGTAGGTAGACCTGTCCTTATGTTGAAATTTTGCGTTGGAAAGTTAATTTTATAATATGACTTTGTTGCAAAACTTTTTCTCTTCTTAAAATAAAATAGGCAGAAATATCGAAATGAATTCTTGTAAAGTTACAATGTAAGAAACTTTGATGTTTTTACGTCTTTCCTCGAATTTAGTCGCGGAGTGAGAAATCTCTTGAACGTTTTATAAAATATTATATTGAGCTACATTTTGGAGTATGGAACTATTCGTATGTTTCGAAATTTTTTTTTATAAATTTACGCTCATTCTATTCTATTTCTGTGCGAATTAGTCTAGTCTGACTGCAGTGTTATTGTGACTGAAGAAATTGTGTGGTGGAGGTTTTTTGTTGACGGGGTGCTTGACATTTTAATGATTTTTATGGTCACTGCAACCGTGTTTTATTACAAGAATTTCTGTTTGTAGTGATTCACCGTTGAACGAATCTCTTTCTGTCTATATTTATTGGTCATTTGATGCCTTAACATTGATTTTCAATGCATCAAAACTAACTCACACTAATTAAAAATTAAAGTGTTATTGGTTGAGTCGTGTATTAGCAATGCACCTTTGATGATGATACCATACAGCGATAAATAATCTGCTAATTCTTCAGAATATATTGGCGTAGAAATTGTTAGGGAATGTACATGAAAATTATTGTTACTCAACCCCATGCCCGTCCCTTCTTTGCAATGCTCTCTTTTTCTTTGAAGCTCTCCTTAAGTTCCAAGAAATAAGTCGAGAACTAATGATTTATTTGTGAAATTATACCTTTTTGTAGGAATTCCGCTGTGCATTATTTCAACTAGAATTAGAAATATTGTTACTTTTATTAATGTTTCAATACGCTCTCTCTTTCTTTTGAATGATTTAAAATCAATCCGTGAGTAAGGAAAGTTTTTATTGTCAGCTCTCTCAGGCTATCTATGTTACCGTGACTAATGAGAACTATGGTAATGTTTCCGTACAACGTCTTGACTATTAGTCTTGGTAATTTCCTTCAATTCTGCTAATTGTTTATTTTTAACTTTACATTGTTTATTTTTAGCTTCAACTTTGACTTGCTTATCATCAATTTCAGTGTCAAGAATTCTTTTTATTTTAATAATGGAATTTTGGAGGGATCCACAACATCGCTGTACATTGTCGCAGTCTCAATAGCAGACCCTTATGTTAATTTAAAATGTAATCAACAATTCATATTATTATGCTATTTAAATACTTTTAAATTTGCGCTATATAATATTTCTACTATATATTTTACTCATAAAAAACGCGAAGTGGTAGATTTATCAAACATGATGTCTTTTGGCCAAGTTATGAAGATCAGTAACCTTATTTAATTTAAGTTTTGCTCCTTTCGATCAGGCTGCACATATTTGAATCTGATTTCATTTTCGAAAACTTGATATCAAGTTGGAGACTTCAAGATTTTATGCTTAACTTTTCAACCTGTTTGTACTAGTTTTTTGTTCATAGAATAGGTATGTTGGTTGAAGCCTAACCCAAGATTATTGACGTGTTGCTTAACGTTGTTTCTCTTTCACTTGGATCATTAGAGCAACTTAGATATTCTTTTGTATATTTTCTTGTATTAATGACGTCATACAAGATTCCATGAAACATGTCGCATATGATGACGTATAAGATCCGTTACTCATATATGTTTACAGCACGAGGGCAACACGTGCCGGCTTTTATTAATTGAATCTCAAACACAAGTATTTTTCAACCATGTATGGTCAAGGGGCTCAAGCCTACAGGAGTTATTTCCTTGTCTAGACATGATTGGTATATTATATTTATCTCTTCCCTCTTTATGGTAACTATAATGTGTTTTTTAAGTTAATTATAACGCTATTTTCCCACCGGTTCTTTACTTGGAGACAATTGTGGTTGAAGTTTCACTCGAAATCATCTTTTTTATAGCCTCGAATTTTACTCTTATATGTAATTTCAAATTTTCAATTGTTAAGCCGAGACTTGACATAGGATTCGTGATACAGGAATAATGTCATTAAGAGAACATATTCGGTTATTCTTACTAGTTAATGTCTATGAATTAATATTCTGCCGTTAAACTCTCAAACTAATCTTCAGAAGATGAGGTTAGATAGCCTCTAGGTGGTCAGTGATGGCCGCACAGAGACGAGCGGACTTGGCTGTCCAGCCTCGGGAAACTCAGTTTATTGCTCGGGTGTCGTAGGTGGACTGAGCTTGGTAGCCGTCAAAGGTGGTGCTTCCAGCATGGTTTTGGGTTGATATGCCTGAACAAACTCATGGTACGTGTTACCTGGGGGAAATCTTAATGTCTGGACCTGCTGGGACAAGATCTTGCTCGTCTGGACCTGCTGGGACAAGATCTTGCTCGTCTGGACCTGCTGGGACAAGATAGGTTTTGCTTTGTTGTGGACTGTGCGCCCGACGCGAAATGGGTCAATATTGTTCACCAAGCAGGCACTGTTGACCAGATGCTTGACACACTTGTCACGGTCAGTCGTTTTTCCCAGCCCGGCGTTTAGATCTTTGAATATAATACCGAGATTGTATTGGTATTAGTGAGTTAGACAGGTTTTACTGGAGGTGAACGGTTGAAAATCGCATTCAAGTAATGCAGTTTGCGTTATAAAGTTCATTTTATGATACGACTGTTGCAAAGCGTATATGTGGATCCTATTTCAGAATCTTGTTATTGTACAATCTTGCATTAGTCGGCAACTGGCGTTCCACGGATGATCAGTTCTTTCTTTGGTTTGAATCTTTTAAATATTATTCGGTTATTGATTTGTGTATTGTATTATTAACTGGAAACTATTGCGTTCTACTTACGCTCATAAATATTAGGCTCGTGTTCTTGTAACCAAGTATTCATATAATGATATGGTCAATATATTTAATATTATTTGCCATTATGAAGTATTAAGGTATCCGTACCGGGAATAACTTATATCTACGTGCTACGTAATCTTGGCCTTATGTTTATCTCTCTATTATCTAACAATTCTAAGAACTCTCAGCGGTCATGAGAACCTTAAGTTTTAAGAATCTTGAATTACCGTCAAATAACATCCTTTTTATTTAAAAGTTTCAGTTCATTTAGGCTCGAAATTGGAAATGATGAAAAAAATTGAAAGTTTTTCGATGTAATCCAGTTTCGGAAAGAGCACATTTTTAATGCATGAACTTCACCCGTCCTACATATGGATTGAGATTTTACTCACTATGGTACACATTATTATTTTAATTATTTTAGATTATCAACCATTCAATGTTACGATATATTTAAATGATAACCTACGTCATTCTTTCAGTGGTCCGAACTACCTATCGATACGGATCGTAGTTGTGAATGTGAAAGAAATGTCTCGCTGATCAAAGGAAAAACCTTCCTGGCTGTTATCTATCACTTCAAGACGTTAATGAAAAGCTTTCGAGAATTAATACTCCGGCTTTGAGAAAGATTTGAGCTTAAACCAATATTTGATTGTGTTCACGCACTCCGGTGCACTACACCGAACCTCTAGTGTACTTTACTCATTTTCTTGTTTGACAAATTATTGTACTGCCTCCACAATTTACAGCTCATCAGGGTTAGTTAACCTGCTTTTTATTGATGGTTTTACATATCTAACTGACGTGCCGTTTAAGATCAAAAAATACTGACAAATTGTTTTTTCCATAGGATCCTACAGTGGTGAACAGTCATGCGATTTAAGGTTCAAAATTTGTATAACTTCGCTAGTTTCCATTCTCGGCCGAAAAGCTTCGACTGTTCCTACTTCACGTCATGAATATAATTAACATTCCAGCTATCGATAAACTGCGTGTATTTGTAAAAATATATAATGAGAATGAAATATTGTTTGATTATTTCTTATAATCCTAACGCAGCAAGTTAAGGAAATAATCATAAGGAAAGAGAAAATAATTTCAAGACACCAGTTGTATTCCTTCGAAAAAATTCAAGTAAGAATAAATAGGACCCATTTAGCCATTACACTTGCACTTATATTAATATTAAAAGTAAAAAAAGAATTTAAGGAATGAAGAATTGTGAACGTTAACGAACAATTCGGACCAACACTACAATTGAATAACATTTGGATAATTTTTTACTTAATTCAATCTAAACTAAACTCAGAAGTTTAAGGCGCTTAACCAAAACATGTGTATTTGAAAAGTAAAAAAAATTAATATATCCACAACATGACCAAGGCTAATTCCAAGCGCTTCTAATGATCCCTGCAGTTCTCTGTGAATTTGAGAAAGTTACTAATTTTTAATACATTTTATTGTTCCAGGACCGCTGTAGAGCTGTCAAGCTCAGCGTTATTAGATGTAAATGCAGCCACGAACCAAATCCCAAGTCATGGTTTAATGCAAACAAATTCACAAAACTCGAAGAAATTTGATTAACTTCAAACATTGAAGCAATGTTAGCGCTATGTATGTCACCTAGACCCCTTTGTCCCGGTAAAAAAAGAGCATAAGTGTTACGAGCAGAAAGTACATCAATCTTTGGGCAATGTAACCTATTTATTCTTCCGAATGTAAGCAAGAAAGCTATATCTACGCATAGGCTACCACAATATCCCCCTGATAACACGATTATATCAGCATGCGCCTCTTCTTATTTAAATATGGAATAAAACCGGGCCCTGTGAACGGACTCAGGCGGGAAGAGAAGAAGTGGAAAAAGAAAAGATCGAAATTAGGAAAAAATCGAAAAAATTAAAAAAGAAAATTCGAAAAAATCGAAAATAAGCAGCCATGAAGGAAGGACGAGATTCATCTCTGCCGGGCGCCGACTCGGTCACGTGGTATGAGACGCAGCTCCGACCCGTGCTTCAGAAACACGGTTCCTGCAACACACGTGATTTATAGAACAATAGTTCCAGCAACACAGGTCATTTATAGCACAACAGTTCCTGCAACACAGGTAAATTTTAGCCATACAGTTCCTGCAACACATGTAACACAGGTAGCACAGGTAAATTACAGCACCACAGTTCGTGCAACACACGTAACACAGGTGAATTATAGCACCACAGTTCCTGCAGCACACGTAACACAGGTAAATTATAGCACAGCAGTTCCTGCAACACACATGAATTATAGCACAACAGTTCCTGCAACACACGTGAATTATAGCACAGCAGTTCCTAACGTAAATTGTTCCTGCAACTCACGTAAATTATTGCACAATTATTCCTGCAACTCACGTAAATTATAGCACAACAGTTCCTGCAACACAAGTACCTAACACAGGTAAACTACAGCACAACAGTTCCTGCAACACACGTAACACAGGTAAATTACAGCACAAAAGTTCCTGCAACACAAGTAACACAGTTAAATTATAGCACAACCGTTCCAGCAACACACGTAACACTGTTAAATTACACCATTACGATGCGTTGATAGTACCAACACAGTTCCTTGCAACGCAGGTGAATTACGAGCACTGTGAATGACACACGAGTCGCCACAATAATTAAAGTAGCTCTTCTCCGTTAAAAATGTTATGTCTTATCGAAAGTATTGTACTACGCTATGTTTAACCCTAATTCAGGAAAATGTGCATGGTTAGTAATATCTGCTGGCGAGTTAAATCCACTGGCGGCTTACGAGTCATTGACGGTATAACTCAAGCGAGGCTAAAATGATCTCATACTTCACAATCGTTAGAATTTATTTAGGTACTCATTGTGATGCGGAAGCTCCAATTGCGTCAACGGGAGTGCGGTTAATACGGCGCACATAAATCCAATTAAATTTATCCCCCCTAATAAATGACATATATGTACATGAACCATTAGTGTCAAATGGGAATGAAAGCAAAAGATGGCAGATTTAACCCACTACCGCCGTATGTCACTCCCCGGGAACTAACTTTCAACTTAAATTATACGTAAAATACCTATTGAGTGTAGCAACCTGAGGACGTTTGTACGCAACAGAGAACATTTTAAAGTTGTCGTACGTGGCGGCAAATTATACGTAAGGACGTTTGTACGCAACAGAGAACATTTTAAAGTTGTCGTACGTGGCGGCAACCATCAGTGCAAGTCATTTTGCGCTCACTAGAACGTATCTTTTTTTGGGAAGTAGGCGCGTGATAATATTGCTCCGGTTACTCGTGTCAGGCGGCAGATGTAAACCTTAAGGATCAACATAAGAAATCAAGTTTTTGCCCATTAACATCAACTGATTGAAATGATCTCAGAATGTACCGAACAATAAGTAATAACCACGGCACTTACCGGCAGTTTGGCTAGGGTTGATGCCGATGCCGTCATCAGTGATGATGGCCGACGTCTCGGGCGGCACTTTGAACTCTTCCGCCGCGAACTTCAGCACTGCGGTGAACGGCGTCCCATCGGGCACACTCAGCCTGAGCACATCAATGGCATGTCAGTTCTCCGCGCACATTATTTCCAGTAAACTGTATTTCTGGACAACACCAAATTATTTCTACTCAAAACTTTTCATTCGGTACACTCAGTCTCACCGCGTCAATGTCATGTTAGTCTTCCCCGCACATTATTTCCAGTATTATTTCCAGTATACTGTACTTCGGGACAACACTAAATTATTTCGTCTCAAAATTTATCACTCGGTACACTCAGTCTAGCCGTATAAATGTTAAGTCAGCATTTTCCTCACATTATTTCCAGTTCTTTGAATTCTTTGTACTAAAAATTAATCACCCAGTATACTCAGTCCGGCCAGCAAAGCGATTTCTTAATAAATAAATAATGAACAAATTTTCGTAAATAAGTCAGCATTTCCCTCACATTATTTCCAGTTTTTCGAATTCTTTGTACTAAAAATTCATCACTCAGTACACTCAGTCTGGCTAGGCACAGCAATTTCATGGCAGTACCAAGCCACACAATGAATATAGCAGTGGATCGATTCACTGCTATATTCATTCTAATCAATAGTAATAGCATATCAGTTTACTGATTCGTTATATAGTACGGCACGCACACTTCATATCAGGTTCAGACTTTTTTAAATTATTTTCAGCAAGAGCGTAGGCTCATTAACTAGCCTGGACACAGAACACTCGCGTCATCTCCCGGGTGCACTTTAATCAATATTTTAAGCTTACAAATTCTCTTTAATATAAACTTATGACGCGTGTAATTGTTATAAAAACGTTATACTAGATATAGAGAACCCTCATAAAGCTCAAGTTCAGCATGAGTGGAGACCAGCTTCTCGGAATATTGAATGCCAAATGGCGGCTTGAGGCGAACAAGCGAAGGTGGACAGAGCTTGTGACAACATTGCATGTATGGCTGCATGGTGATCGCTGTGTGATTTCCCAGGTTTTCTATGCATTTTTTTCAACCGATCAACTGTGTGGTTAGTCTCAACTAAAATATAGTTACCACTATGAATAGAATAGTCCAATTTCTTATTGCACTTCAGCAATTGCTTGAAAAAAACAGCAAGCTTGGAACTAGTGAAAGATGCAGGCTTGGCATTTATATCAGGGAGGGGATTTTCTACATGATTTTCTGAAAAGTCATCACACCAAACTCTTGATGCAGAGTTGTGCATTTCCGAGTCAATCATGCAATAGAAAGCTCGTATGAGAGAAACTAGAACTTTAGATAAAACTCCACAGAAACATGGATATTTTTTAAATCCTGCAAGTGGATCTTCACTGCTGCACTTGGAGCACGGCGCTGGCACAATTTGCAGCCATTGCTTCAAGAGCATTTGATGGCATTTGTGTTCCCTGTCACTTTGAACTTTAGTGATCCACGCAACGAACTCAAGATATAAATTAGAATCTTCTTCAACAAGACAAAGTGCTGAAAGAAGTCTTTGGAGAAAATTTAGCTCCTTGAAGCAAAATTTACAAGAGAGACGCCATTTGCGACTTCTTCTTTTAGATGTGGTAGACTGCTGGATCAACTGTTGAGAAAGCCATCTATCTGTGCGTTGCAAATTCACTGCAATTTGAAAGCTTCTTAGGAGCGTGTGGGAATCAACAAAGCAGGTAATTTTATCATCAGATAAATCCTTCAGCTTATTCTGAGCCACGCTAATTTGATTTACAGTTGATTCCAGCTTTGCCTGAAGATCCTCAGTCAAATTTTCAGTAATGAATTCTTTCAAAGTTCTAGAAGAATCTACGCACAAAGAGTTATTCAGCATTAATTTACTTAACAAGATGAATTCAGCATTGTCCATATCAGTGAAACTATAGCCAAGTTGGGAAAGCTTGCGGAAGAGTTTTTCACGGAATTCATGTGGCCTTCTTGGTGAAGGAAGGGCAAAATTCGACAACTCGCTCCCAAGTGATGCAGAAGTTTCAGGATTGTCAGGAATACGAGAGTTCGTTGCAGAAAAGAACTTCTGTACAATACCTGCCCAGCTAATGGCTTTCTTTACATTATCAATGGGCCAAAAATTGTGATGTTCTGCTTTAGGTAAAATAACTTCAAAAAAATACAGTACGCCTTCACCTTGAGATTCCAATTCATTTTGTATTGCACAGCTCTGGCCAGGTTCTTCACCCACCATCATTAACAATACTTCTTAAGAAGAACCAGAATAAGTTAAGACCAGACTTATCTTTCACTAATGGCCAGGCTTATTTATATTTGTTTCAAATTTTTACATCACTATTGACCTGAAAATAAATTAGGAACATGTATCAATGTTTATACAACAGAAGAATATAGTCTATAGGTATGACACCAATCGGGCAAATGTATGATTACAAATTGAAAAGACACCTAAGACATTATTTTTAAAGTAACCATTACTATTGATACTACAGTAAATCAGTACCTATATGTAAAGCAATATTTATATGACTATCAATAAATCAAAAAAATTGTACAGCTGTTATAAAACAATTTTATTCACTTTTAAATACAAACTTCTTGGTATAATAATGAGTGAAGTAGTAGGTATGTGAAATACAATAAAGTTCTCAATCTCAAATCAACGTTTCAAGACAATGAAAATATTTGTTTAATTTTTTAAATATGAGCACCTGATTAGAACATCAATAATTTTTTCCAAATATGATCTTGAATATAAAGAAGGAAGGAATTCATAATTTCTCTGTGGTGGCATGGGTTCCTAGTCATTAAACTTACACTTTGAAGGGTAGTTTAGGATCAGAAGTTAAGGTGATCTTGAAGGTGACTTTAGTTCTGGAAGAAAAACAATTATAATTAAATGGTAATTTAAAAAAAAAATACATAGGTACCGTAAACTGGGGTAACTTTGACCACTTTTTTTTCAAAATGATGCCATTTTTTACTAGATAAGTTAAACTTAAATTGAAACACGCAAAATACAGGTCTATACTCTAGCTTCACTCACCATAAATTGCTGGCTCCTGCCTCTCATAGTTTTGATGTAATTAAAAAAAAATTGCTGGTCTTTTTTACCCCAGCTCTTGGGGTTTCTTTGACCGGGTGGAAAAATCAATTTTATTTTTTGGTAAAATAACTCCAAATAACTCCATGCATTGTAGTGGAACTCTTCTAGTTACATATGCAAAATACAAATTTTAGGAAAGTGTCATAGTTTGCAAATGGGAGGCACCACCCCCAAATGGGCAAAATGTGACCATCTAATGGCAGCCATGATGGGGTAACATTGACCGGTTTGGAAATTAGGTTAAAATTACCATATATAAGACTCTGTAGAGTCTGAAACATGAAGAAAAAAACATTAATAGGTGTATCAAACATAAAATATGTTATATAGGTACCTATGGTAATTTTAACTTAATTTCCAAGCCAGTCAATGTTAACCCGTCACGGCTGTCATTAGGTGGTCAAAGTTACCCCATTGGGGGGCGGCGCCCCCCATTTGCAAACTATGACACTTTCCTAAAATTTGTCTTTTGCATATGTAACTAGAAGAGTTCTACTACAATGCATCGAAACCTGGAGTTATTTTACCAAAAAATAAAAAAATTGGAGGGGGTACTCTGACAGGCTTTAAATAATAGCTCTTTTTCATGGGTCACATTTTTAATTTTTCAACCTATTAGATATGAAAACTTTTTAAATCTTTCTATTGTGTTACGTAGCCTCAGTATTAGGCCTTTAATGCCCATTGACAAAATTTTTCTATGTCAAATAGTTTTTGAGTTTTGGGGGTTTTTGTTAAAAAACCAAAAGTGGTCAAAGTTACCCCGGGAGTCAAAGTTACCCCAGTTTACGGTATGTATTTAAAGGGCAAGGCAAAGATTGGACAAGTGCCTAAGACGAATTTCAAACAAAATTTTCCTACAATTTTGTGCACTTTAAAATTCATCCTTCAACTTAAAGATTTTTAAAATCATATTTAAAATGATTTAATAACAGTACCATAAAATGGGGTAACTTAGACTCCCGGGGTAACTTAGACCACTTTTCATTTTTTCAACAAAAACCCCCAAAACTCAAAAACTATTTGACATAGAAAAATTTTGTCAATGGACATTAAAGGCCTAATACTGAGGCTATATAACACAATAGTAAGATTTAAAAAGTTTGCATATCTAATAGGTTAAAAAATTTAAAAAGTTTGCATATCTAACAGGTTAAAAAATTTAAAATGTGACCCACAAAAAAAAAGCTATTATTTGAAGCCTGTCAGAGTACCCCCTACAATTTTTTTATTTTTTGGTAAAATAACTCCAGGTCTTGATGCATTGTAGTAGAACTCTTCTAGTTACATATGCAAATGACAAATTTTAGGAAAGTGTCATAGTTTGCAAATAGGGGGCACAACCCCCAAATGGGGGAACTTAGACCACCTAATTTCAGCCATCAGGGTAACATAGACCAGCTTGGAAGTTAATATAAAATAGCCATTTATAACATATTTTGTGTTTGACAACCTATTACTGTTTTTTCTTTATGTTTCAGACTCTACAGAGTCTTATATATGGTAATTTTAACTTAATTTCCAAGCCAGTCAATATTACCCCATCAGGGCTGCCATTAGGTAGTCACATTTCCCCCATGCTGGGGTGACGCCCCCCATTAGCAAACTATGACCTTTTCCTCAAGTTTGTCATTTGCATATGTAACTAGAAAAGCTCTACTACAATGCACCAAAACCTGGAGTTATTCAGAGTTATTTTACCAAAAAAATATAATTGATTTTACCACCCAGTCTAAGATACCCCAAAAGCTGGGGTAACAAAGACAATCACTTTTTTTTTTAAATTACATAAAAACTATGAGAGGCAGGAGCCAGCAATTTATGGTGAGGGAACCTAGAGTATAGACCTGCATTTTGCATGTTTCAATTCAAGTTTAATTTAGCTAGTAAAAAAATGGCATCATTTAAAAAAAAGTGGTCTAGGTTACCCCATTTTATGGTAATAGAGATGGTTTCAACTGATGTGTGTGAATTTTATGTATTCAAGGTAACAAGTTATTTTTGATAGTGCCAATTTTTTAACTTTAGTTGGAAAATATCTTGTCAATGGTATTTTGTATGTCATAAAAAATGTTCAGAATACATGCATATACTTGCCATAACAATGAAAATTACTTAACCCTTTATGCCCTGGCGTGACGAATTTGTCACACCAGGGACTAGCTACCTTTTCCAACAATTTCACGTTTTCTGTCATTTTTTCGAAAAATTCACATGAATAAAAAAGTCTTAGATTTATTTTTTACATATGTGTACCAAGTTTCAAAGTTATCTGTCAGTAAATAACCAAAATATAATTTCCAATTTCCAATGGCAATGTCCAATTTCTTTTGGAAATTCTATTTCGGTTATTTACTAACAGATAACTTTGAAACTTGGTACACATATGTAAAAAATAAATCTAAGACTTTTTTGTTTGTAGGAATTTTTCAAAAAAGTGAAAAAAAACGTGAAATTCTTAGAAAACCGCCAAAAAGGGGGTACTGTAGAAATCTATCTCCTCCTATGATTTTCAAGCTACAACATCGAGATGCATATCATTTGATGCGTAAGGACCATATCTATCGATTGGTCTTTGCTGTTTTTCAAAATTTTAATTTTTGTGGGTGGGGTGGGCATTTTTCAAAAAAAATTATTTCTACCCCCACCCTTTCGAATTTCCCCTCCCCTTTTTTCAAAATATTTTCAAAACTTTAACGAAATTGAAAAAAAAGCTTTGACCAATCTCTAGATCTTTTATTTGCAAATCGAACGGTTTATTACTCATTGCTGTAGCTTAAAAACTCTGGGAGGAAATAGGTTTGCAGTGACAATAAGTGTGAATGTTCAGTTGAGCGCGACAAAGTCCCGAGCGCCTCGAAATAAGCATTCAAGGTGACATGGATGCAAGACTAGACATTACTGGAGCCGAAATTCAGTCAAGGATAGTGGGAACGACTGCATGAGCACCATCCCACACGACAGCAGCCGGGTAACTTGAGATCAGCGTCTTCAGGTTGCATATTTATGTGCCCAACCAGTAATTTTCGCCTATATTAAATGTGAAAGAACTCCCCCACCCCTAACACTTTCACGAACTGTCGTCAAGGCATAAATCAACGTACAGAGATGATTTTGGTACCATTGGATAGGTCAGAATGTCAGCTTCGAAGTGAGACTTAAAACCGAAAAAGTGAATTTTACAATTTTTGTCCCAGAAATTCAGGGCGTAAAGGGTTAATGCCCTGCTTCTTAGAGAAGAGAAGTGAGATGGGAATGGTTGCAACGATTCAATGAAATTCATTATCAGTTCCCAGATCACCAGTTTTATCTCTAACCTTGTACTAGTTGGGAAAAGTCCTACTTTTTTCTGAAACCATACCATCAACCAGGGCTACTCAGGACGACTTTGAAGGTATTTCATTCATAACTTCTTAACATGAAACATTTCATAAACAAGTTTAGGCTCATTTCAAAGCTCTTTGCAAGGGCTATCACATGGCTTCTCCAAAAAAATTCTATATGCTATTCGTAACGTGCCAGAAGCAAAAATAAAAAGTGTCCCGAGTAGCCCCGTCGAACGGGGCTACTTGGGACACTTGGAATAAAACTTAATTTTAAAACATTTGAAGCATGCAGAGTGTACTCATCCATTACTAATAGTACTCTGAAGTCCTCCTCTTTCATTGTAGATGATGTAGAGGTAGAATAAATGGCATTTTCTGTGATTTTTACTTGTTTTTCCTTTATTGATATGATATTACCATATACATTAATTACCGTATTATTGATGTGATATTACCATATCCATGAACAGGCCATTGAGAATTTCAACTACCTTGTCCACTGCAAGCTTCGTATCAGCAGCCTTATAGCATTTTTTCTGTATCTGTAAGCTTACAGGACGGCTTGTAATTTCACAGCATTTTAATTGGGTTAGGTGAATTTACTATAAAAAAAGATCATGAAAAACATAGGTACCTGAAACAGAAAGGAATGTTTTAGTGACAACCATCATATGTTTTGGAGAAATAAATCATAGTTTAGGTCAATTACTTTTCATTCTATGATGCCTGGTGCACAATTCTATATATGACATTCTATGCACAATTTTGTGATGACTGATGATGCAGTAAATTTTTGATAAGTGAAATTTTTTTTGCTGAGCGAGGTAAATGTAATCAATATTCTTTGTTTTTAATCAATTTTTTCTTAACTGGAGCCTTTGCTAACTGAGGTTCTACTGTAAATCCGTTTTTGGGGGTGTCCCGAATAGCCCCGGGGTGGTGTCCCGAGTAGCCCCACCGTGCGGAAATGGCCGCCATTTTTGGGGGGATTGAGGTATGTAAATTCCGCAAATAAAGTTTTCATGCTGACACTTGTCTACCACTTTTTTCTAAGCAAAATTTTGTAATAATGTGGGAAATTTCCCACAGTTACTTAGTTTGTTAATTTCTTTTACTTTGTTTCATTAGAATAAGATTATTGTTGCGTTCAATCTAGGGTAAGTTTATTGTTAGGGAGTTCAATTCAGGGCCGGGATTTCCGAAGTCAGAGTTGGAACTGGGACTCCGCAAGACCTTTTTTGTGAACCTACAAATTACCTGTCGTCAGCTGCCGCTACATCATCAGCAATTTTCAACCCTAAGTCTAATCATCTCCCTAGAACTGTGATTGGTCTATTCCTTGGTTTGCGTGCCTGATTTTCTTTCATTTTGTTAAGTTCGCTTAAGTCTATGCTTAATTTTCATGTGAGATGCTTCAGACTTCAATTATCTTATTTATTCAA